CAGAGCCGCTGGCACAGCAGCTACTGCCCAGGCTCAGCTCATCGCTGCTAATGGGATTGCCCGTGACCCGGCAAAGCTCCTTAGCTCCTGCCTCCCCCCCCGCCATCCACTTTCCCTCCCGGCGTGTGCCCAAGGGCGTCCGGGGTTTCACCAGCCCCACATCCCACCCTGTCCCCCCTCCCGTCCCCCTGCCCCATACCCAGGTACTTGGCCCGCTCCTCGCGCCGCTCCTTCGCCTGCTTGTGCCTCGCCTGGGCTTTCTGGGCATCTGCATTGGGGAGACATTGTCAGAGCAGCACCCGACCCCCCCAGCCCCACTCCTGTGCTGGCACCAGCTGGGCATGGAGGCATCGAGCAGCGCCCGCAGGGTGCCAGCATCCCCAGAGCCCCCCGGGCACCCACCTTGCTTGGGTCTGGGGCTGGTGGCCGGAGCTGGTGAGGCTGCAGCTGGGGCTGGGCGGTCACTGCGGGGCAGCACGTCCTTCGAGGGCCCGGCTGTGCCACCCAGGGGGCTTTTGGCATCGGAGGGGGCCCCTTCGCCAGCAGCAGGGGCTGGGGGGTCAATCCCGCGGGGCAGCGTCTCTGCCGGGCAAGGGGCAGCAGCAGCAGGGATGCCCTGGCCAGCGGCGTGGGGCGATGCCTCTTCTTTGGGGTGCTCCGTCACAGCTGGCCTGGGGGGCCCGGGAGGGGACCGGTCACACCAGGGGGGGACACTCTCTGCCGAGGGGGCCACGGCTGCAGGGATGGGGGAGACGGGCTGTCCTGGTGGCAATGTGGCTGGAGGGCCGGGTTGGTCCCGCTGTGGGGTGCTGCTCTCGGGGGGGGCCATCACAGCTGGGGGGCAGACGGGCTGCTTGGGGGGGGTGACGGCTGCAGGGACGGGTGAGAGGGTCTTTTCGGAGGGGGTGACAGCTGGAGGGACGGGCGAGACGGGCTGTCCGGAGGGGATGAGGGCTGGAGGGACAGGTCGGTCCCGCTGCGGGGGGGTGTGCTCTCCCTGCAGGGCATCCCCAGGCGAGGGGAGCGGCGAGGTGGGGGGGACAACGCTGTCTCCCATCAGGGACGGTGACTTCCCTGCAACACAAGCAGAGCAGAGCAAATGGTCACTCAGTGGGGGAGCCCAGGGCAGCCCCGTCCCCCCAAACGCAGCCCTCGGCATCAAGGCTGTCCCCGGCCGCAGGGGCTGGGGACAGTCCCCACATCCCCCAAGGGAAGGCAGCGGGACCCCCTGCTGCTGCCCCCGTCTCGGGGGGCGCCCATGCTGCCCCACGCTGGGTGCCAGGCACTGGGTGCACAATGCACAGAGGGACGGGCCGGGGCTCTGCCAGGCACTGCCGCCACAAAGCCACCCTTCTTCCCCCGACAGCTGCCGCCCCGGCCCCAACACGGGGGGACGCGGGGATGGAGACCCCCCATGCCGGCACGGGGACCCACACGCTTCCCCACCGCTCTCCCCGGAGGATGCAGGGTGGCTTCCGCCGGCGCTGGCGGCAGAGCCGGAGGCAGGATGGGCGCGGGCCCCGCGGCCTGACGTCACCGCTGCGGCCCATGTCCCCCAGCGCCGCGCCGTGCCCGTGCGCAGCCATGAACTCATGGCCCAGGAATGCACACGAGGCCACCACTGCCGGCAAACAGCCCCCTCCCCGCATAGGGCCTGGCCACTCGCTGCCCCGCCGTGGGGCAGGTGGGGGGCACGCTGCCTGCTCTGTGCCCCCCCAAGGGGAGCAGCCCTGAGAATCGCCCCCCCTGTCCTGGCCATCCCCAGGGGAGCTAGGGACCCCGGGGGCACCCTCTGCACGCCCCAGTACCGGGGATGGAGAGGTGATGCCAGCTGCCCTGCAAAGCCACAGCATGTCCCCTGGGCAAAAGCCAATGTGCCAGGACCACCCGTGGTGACCAGCAGCAGTGATTGCCCCCCCCGGCCCCCATTAACCAGCCCTTTGCCAATGCACCTTTGGGCACGTGCCGGGATCACAGCCCTGACCCCACGCAGCGGGCAGCGCTGTCACTCCTGCCCAGGAATGATGCCCAACCCACCTGGGGGCTGTGGGCACCCTGCTCCAGCACCGCTGGCACCGCCGCAGCGTGTGTCCCCAGCTCTGGCAGCGTGGCACGGCACGGGCACCACCACCCAGCTCCCACTGGCCCCGGTGAGCAGCTCTCGCCGCGGGTGATGTCACGCATGGCGCTCGGCCGTGTTTGCAGAGCTCTCCACAATCTTCAGCGAGGGGCAAAGTGTGGGCTCTGCAAACACGGGCCGGCGCCGCTCCTCCACCCCACACCAGAGCCGGCCCAGCCGGGGGGCAGCCCCAGGGAAGGCGCCACCAGCCCCCCCTGTGCCGTGGGCGTGGGTGCACCCTAGGTCTCATGGACCCCCAGCACCCACACCGGGGTGCAGCACCCACAGCAGCACCCGCCTGCCTGGGGAGGGTCTGGGGGTCCCGCTGCAGCCCCCCAGCGGGCCAGGGATCGTGCCAGCAGGGTCCACCCTCCCGGGCTCCACGGGGGACACCGCCAGCCCTGCCCCCCCCGCAGACCCATGCAGCTTTCCGGGTATTTTCTCCCGCAGGAAGCCGGCCCGTCCCCTGGCCCCGATCCTGCACATCCCGCATCCCCATCGCTGCACCCTGCAAGGCGGCCATCGTCTGATGTGTGGCCAGGATGGTGCCAGGGCTGCAGCCAGGGACGTCCCCCACCCCGTCCCCCCAAGGCTGGCCCAGGTCGGCACCCACAGGCAGAGGGGCTCGGTGGCCCCACAGGTGCCAGCCCTGAGGACAATACCCACGGTGGCATCGTGCATGTCCCAGCAGGGAGGGGTGACCCATGGGGATGGCTGCGCTGGCACAGCCGGGCGCTGCCTGCATGGCCACCAGCTGAGCAAAAGCTTCAAGGCCAGGCTGACACCTCCGAGCAGATGGAAAACCTCCTGCAGCCCCAGACACATGGGGAGCGATGCCGGGGGATGGCAGGTGCCTCCTTGCCACCTCGTGCCACCAGGCACAGAGCCCTGGGCACAGCCCTGGGCAGGGCCCGTCCCACCCCCCCGGCCAGAGGAACAGCAGCACCCGTGGCCAGCGCAGGGCTGCTGGGCATGGCCAAAACCCCCGTGCATGGCCAGGGCCAGCCCTGCCGCCATCTGTCCCTGTCGCTGCTCCAGCGCAGCAGCTGCCCTGAAACCCAACGCTGCCTGCGCCCAGGCGGTGCGGGCGTCCCCTCTCCCCCGGCCGGGGCATTCCGCAGGGGATTAGCTCCCTGGCCCCCAGACATGCAGGCACGGCTCCCCTGCAGCCCCCAGCCCGAGCGAGCCTGCGCCACCCTGGCCCCACTGCTGGCACCGGGACAGCGTGGTGCCCGGCCACTGGCCACGGCCACGGGGCGAGGTGCTGCTCCTCGACGCCGTGTCACCCAGCCCATCCCGGCTCCTCCGGTGGGTCCATGTGGCACCAGCGCCCGTGCCACCGAGCACCACCAGCACCTCCAGCCCGGCCCTGCCCGGTGCGGCGCTGCTCCCTGGCCAGCACATGGCTGGGGATGCTCAGCCAGGCAGAGGCAAATTCCCCGGTGCCGTGAAGCGAGAGCACATCGCGGCCCCGCGGGGCGCTCCGGTCGGAAGGCGAGCAGCCCTCGTTAACCGTCCACCGCGCATCCCCGCGGGGCACTTCCCATGAGGGCAGGGGGGGTACCCACCATGCTTTAACCTCAGCTCCCCCCGTCTGCCACAGCCTCACGTTCCCGCTCTGTGGCTCAGCCGGGACCCACCACGGGCTGCTCCGCGTGCCAGCCCCATCCAGGGCCGGGGGCATCGCACATGGCCCACCCCGGGAGAAGAGGAGGGGAGAGGAGAGGAGAGGAGAGGAGGGCTGGCGGGTGCAGTGGGGGCTGTCAGTGCAAAGCCACCCAAAGGGGCTGGTGTCACAGCACCCGGCCAGCGGTCCCCTGCCACCCTGCCCATTGCACAAGTCCCAGTGATGCCCAGGGATGAGGTGCCAAGGGGAACCCCAACCCCAAGAGCCACTGCTGGCCGCTCCCCATGGGGACACCCACACACCCAGTGCACCCTCGGGTCCCCCAGACCTCGATGGCGATGCCAGAAGATGGGGAAAGATGGGTCCCTGGGGCCTCTCCTTGTCGCCAACAGGTCCCAGTGCTGAGCAGGGAAGCAGCTGCGGCCCCGAGGCCGGGATTGCTCTGTGGGTGCTGGTGTCTGGCAGGGAGAGCTGCTGTCCGCAGCCACCGCAGTGCCGTGGGGTGCACAGGAGTGCCGTGGGGTGCTCAAAACCCCGGGGGTGCTCGGAGCCCCGGCACTGCCCCCAATCCCACCCCACCTCACTATGTCTCAGCCGTGCTTCAGAGCTGAACCCTGCCCCGTCCCACCCTGCTCCTGGGCTTGCCCCGCGCTGCAGCACCCCTGACACCTGGATGACAGGGACAGTGAGCAAGCGGCCCCGGCACGGCCCCGGCACGTCCCGGCCGTGGGTGCAGCACTGACACACACCCTCACCCCAGCTCACACGCAGGGGCAGGGAGAGGCAGGCGATACACAAAGCAATCCCCAGCAGCCCCACACCACAGGGGTGGCCGGTGCCGCTCTGGCAGCCACCGATGGCAATGACACCCCTGTTGCCAGGGCGGGGTCCTGTGGTGCTGCTGCCCACAGCCACCCGGAGCCTGGCCCCGGGCAGCACGGGTGCTGTAGCCCGAGGCTGGCTCCTCTCCCCATCGGCTGGCAGCCAGCGAAATGCAGCTGGCGGTGTCGGGGCAGGTCAGGCAGCGTCCCAGGGTGCCCCACGCGCTGCCCGCAGCCCCGCTTCGGGGACGGCCTCCAGGGACAGGCCACAGCAGGGCAGGAGGGGGGCAGGCAGCAGCACAGCCGGGAGGGCACAGCCGGATGCCCGCGGTGGGTGCCAGGCAGGAGGAAGGGGCACAGCAAAGCACTGCCCACCCTCTGGGGCCATGCTGCCTTTGCACCCGCTGTGGGAGGGGGCTGCACTCCCTGTTCAGCCCCCCCCAGCACAGAGGATCAGCCCCCCTTCCCGGGGTCTATACCCCGGCAAGGCAGCAGGACAGGGGGGCGTGGGGGCAGCCATGGGGGAACCACACTGGCCCCCAGCAGAGGCCGCCGAGCTCCTGAGGCTCAGCACCCGGCCGGCGGTGACGTGCCAAGCCAGAGAGCAACAAGAGGAACTTGGGAGATGGGATCTCGTGGGGCCAGAGCCGGGGGGGGGGTTTCCAGGGTTTAAAATACACACGGAGGAAAGAGCCTGAGCCGCTGCACCGCCCCGGCACCCCCACAGCAAACTTGCTGCTTGGCCGCGGTCACGGCCCAGCCCCACACAGCGCGAGGGCAGGGGCAGGCAGCACCTGCCTGCCATCCATCTGGGCAGCGGCGACAAGAGGTGCCCTCGTCCTTGGGGCGACCCGTGCGGAGCTGCCAGCGCCGAGGGCAGCCGGCCCAGCCACGCTCCCAAAAACCTGTCTGCGAGCATCACACTGGGAAAACAGGAACCTGGCTCCAAGGCAGGGCACGGGGCTCTGCGCCTGCTGGGATCCGGCCTCTCGGGGAGCCGGTGCTCAGCACCTCCAAAAAATGGGTCCCGAGCCTGATAACACGGATGCGGGCACCTACCAGGGCTGGGGCCGTGCAGGATCTGGCTCCGGTCCCAGCAGGCTGCCTGCGCCCTCCCTGCTCGGAGCCCTCCGACCAGCAAGAGCTGCGCTAACTATTTTGGACATGGCACCACGGGACTGTCACATCACCACTCCGCACGTCGCGTCACGTTGCTCTGACGGTTTCGCAGCAGCGGCTCTGCTGGCATCCCTGTGCTGGGAGAGCTCCCGAGCTGCCTGCTCCCAAACACAGGCGCTGGCTGGCACCCAGAGCGCCCTGCACCCTCCCTCTCCGCCGTGCAGGAGGGAGAAGGGCTGGAGAAGCTGGGGGAAACCCGGATAAAAACAAACCCCTGCCTGCTCCCTGCCTCGGTCCTTGTCCCTCTGCCCACCCATGGGGCAGCATCCCACCCAGCTGGCTCTGCAGGGCCCAATCTTGCCCCCTCTGCCCTCTGTGGGCTCCTGCCCTCCTAGTGCCACCGGTTCCCCCACACCACAGTGGGTCCAGGTCCCTGGAGTGCAACCCTGGCCCCGATGGCAGCCAGGACATGGCACAGCGAGGGGGCTGGGGGTCGGACCCACACTGGGCAGCAAGATGGGGAGCTGCCCGAGCTGCCCGGCCATGTGGGTCTCCCAACTGGGAAGGATCAGGGATGCTCCCCGGAGCGGGACATGCTGCAGAGCCACCCACACTCCCCTGCTGCGGCCCTCTGCTCCCCACAGAGCACCAAATGCCTCCCCACACCGGGGAACCCAACGGCCCGGGGGGCACGGGGGGGCCCGGCCGGCGGCGGGAGAGGCCAGCGTGGCCGGGAGCGGGCAGCCCCCTCCCCGGGCACCGTGGGGGGAAAAGCCAGGCCCAGCCGAGCGGGAAGGCAGCGAGCGGGACACAGACAATATGTCCGCAGCGCAGGACGCGCGGCCGGTTTTTGGGGGGGAGCGGCCGGTGAGGGGCGAGCGGCACCTCGGGGCTGCCGGCAGCGGGGCCGCCATCCCTCCCCGGGCCCGGGCGGTGAATCACGGCGGGTACCGGGGCTGGGGGGGA